CAGCCTCTCCGCTCACGCCCTCCCCGAGAGCGACGCGTTCCGGGGCTTCTCCTCGCGCAGATTGCGTTAGGCAAGACTTTTTCACAAAGTAACGCAGACCTAAAGGCGCCTGCACATATACGGGTTTTGAATGAAAGATTAGTGATTCCGGGCGCGTCACCAGCTAAGTCCCGTAACTGTAGTGCATTTTTTATCGTGAGAAGGGGTTGTGATCTTCCCCTGCTGGAAGGAGGCGCCGACCCACACGTCAGGTGCGGGGTTTTCCCCACCAGAGGGGCACCGCTCATGCCGGGACACAATCTAAGCTCGATCAGACCGCCAGGACAAGCTCTCGACTGGTCTCCCGACAATGTGGTGCAGTATAATGCATGCAAGTGTAAGTGTGTATGAGTACGAAGTGAGGATAGGACAAGGAAGAGAAAGTAAGGATCGCGCACAGTCTATGCCCCATTCGTTAGGGTACTGCTCAGGCATTCGCCTGTTCTTGATCGGAGAAACCACGGAAAACTACCGATCAGAGTAGCCAACAGCTATTTCTCCTCCAGACAGCGGCTGAATTCGACCTAGTTGTGTATCTAGAGTCGAAAATACTGCCACCGTGAGGACTCAAACCCTGGGCACTCCTAATCAGAGACACTGCATTGACATATATCAATGCCATGAGCACCATAAGCCAGTCCACGCCTTTGATATTCGGTGAGTATCGAGCGACCGCTCACCGAATCCGGAATAGTGTGATTGGGTTTATTGCTATTTACCGAGCGACGATCATTCGGTGCTCGACCAATCCACCACACTATTGTCTTTTGAACACATGAAAGGAAGGGAACATTAGCTGCTTGGGACTGGGCGCGCAATTGCTTGCCATTTGACGAAAAATGAATGTGTGGAGTCGCCTTAACACTTACCTAATGCAAACACAAAGAAAACTTTAACGCAAAGCATTGCAAATATAATGTAAACGCAGGGCAAACGTAACTTAAGCGCAAAAACTTGGAGCCATGCTATTCAATGGACGAGTTCTCAACTGTGAAGGTAAATGCAAATGAAAAAAACCTGTAGTATACATCAATATAAGACGTATCCTTGGAAGTTCGCAACCTTCATTCTTTCACGTTTACGTTAACAAACTTGTAGTTTGAACACCACACGCACTCGTGAACAATCTCAAACCCTGAAGAAGACCACGGTAGGTTAGTCGAAACGTCGGTATCATTACCCTAGAACCGGCAGCACCCGGACAGCTGAGTGCTTTGGTATGACCCAGGTCGCGGAAGCCAACGATTGCATTAACACATTTGTGCACCGAATCAAGATTCAAAAGAACGTCTAGATTTTTACTTAGAAGTTAACCCAATATTTGTGAGCATTCATAATCATCATTGCTCATAAAATGTTCCATATACCAATATTTATGAGCATGATCTGCCATTCGTAATCAACATTTCTTATAAAGTATTCCATTGAATTATACGTCGTCCATATGGTATAATAAATATTGGTCATGTGTTACGTGCGTTTTACTTTCTGTCATTCCAATATTCACAAACTTTCTGTGACGAGTACTTTTTGTATTCATATGCTATTATATTGACGAGATGCTATTTTCACCTTTACGTTCATGGACATTGTGTGCGGCAGCGCCAGGTCATTGGTGTTAAAATCAAATGCTTATGTTCTCACTTCTACGCTAACTTTTTCTTTGTGACTGTCCGCACATTTCACTGGCCGGAATCGGCGCGTGAAGAATATGCTGACGAGAAGCGAGTTAGCACAGTGTAACAGTTTTCTCCACAACTCTCCACACGAAACGCCTAACAATGTAATTGACGCAAATATTACAAATTTACATTCATTGCACGAACAGAAAGTGCATTTGGGTTACAAATGGTTTTAAATGAAACATCCCCAATTTCCAATTGCAGGAATACTGTTTTTTTGTGATGAATTAGAAGAAGGAAATGCTCCTTTACAGGGTCCCCACATGAGTACGAACCCCAAACGAGCAAACCACCCCACGACCCTCCTCCCCGGCTTAGCTGGCATCAATTGATGTTGCTGCACTGCCTCTGACTGGAAGGTCCTAGAGTTCTAGTACTGACGGTGGCAGGAGTTTCGATACTAGCTAGACAGCTAGGTCCAGTTCAGCCGCCATCAGGAGCAGAATTCCGGCAGCTGGCTGCTGTGTTTTTCCCGATCAACACCAGGCGAATGCAGAAGCAGTACCCTAACAAACGGGCCAGGGACCGTGCGCGATGTTTCCTTCCTCTTCCTTATTGTATTCGCACTCATTTACACACACTTACACTTACATGGACTAAGACGCATGTCGAAAGAACAATTGGGAGCTTAAGGCTTGCACACGTAGGCTTCCGCGGCTCGAGTTCATTACATCTAGCCTGTTCGGGTGACGCCGCGTCGTTGGCAGAGAGGCCGACGTTTTGCCTGTCGTATCGCAGGCTTCTTCGTCACCCGCACATCCTAGAAGTCGAGCTTAAGGCTTGTCCCGGCTGGGGCAGTGTCACGCTGGTTGGAGATACCTTGTTGTGGAAAACCCGCAAGCGGACGGTATGTCACCGGATCTCCCCATCCAGCGAGAGAATCTGCCTCCTCCTCGGATAAAACATGCAATACACCTACAGGACGAATAACTTTAGCTTCTGACGGGCCAGGCATCACTAATCAATCAATCAATTAACGAATGGAAACTCCTACGATCTCGAACTTTGCTCACTACCAGCGGAGGTTTAGAACCGAGTGAACTCAGAGCACGTGTTCGGCCTTAGCTCGGCGTTGACTTGAAATAGCCGACAACCGCGTGGGCTTGACCCCACGCGAAGAGCATCTGCTCGATTGATTGATTGATTGTGTTTCCGGGCGCATCATGTGCTAAGGTCATTAGTCCCGTACGTGCAGTACGAGTTTTACCGCGGGATTTGGCGATGATATATATTCCCGCTGAATGGCGAGATCCGGCACAAACCTACACGTTGGCTTGCAGAGTTTTTCCAACCGGGTATCTCCCACCAGCGTGGCCCCCGACTCAACCGATTCAAGCTTTTAAATCCCGTTAGGTATCCCGATATGTATGTTAGTGTAGTGTATGTAAGTATCAGTGTGTATGTGTGAAGGGGTGAGGTTGGGAAAAAGGAATAACATTCATCTGATGTACATGAACACTCGGAAAAAAGAAACATAATGCAAATGAAAAGTGAGAGGCGTTGAACTCGCTTAAGGCCATGGGAGGCTCCAACAATGAACATTATTCATGTTCTACCGGATGCATGTCCCCCTTTGATTGTGAAAAGAGCTTCTGAGACTGTGGTCAGCTGCCGTACACTCGCCTACGGGCGAACTAGGGCGAGAATTCTCGCATGCTGTTTATGTCCCACTGTCTTTTTTGCGAGGGTTGTTGTATAAAGCTAACTAGGATCTAACAAACATTTCTAATAAAATATTAACTTCGAACCAGCAGATTTTTGATATCTCAGCCGTTCTTCGTATTCTATATAATTCTATGTAGTAATACTGTGATACACAGATATTCTAATACTAAAGTAATTATACGTAATTTCATACGTGGACTTACGCAGGTGAGAAACAAAGGCAGCAATCAGCAAGACAGAGAAAACAATGCTTTAAGTGAAAAGGGGTTTCCTACAGTTTTTCACTAAGTTTTCCCATGTCCTCAGCGGCTTGTTTAACTTGCCATCCGCCACCGTAGCGACGTACGTTCGTCATTGGCATGATACTCATGGCCAGTGTTGTGGCGGGAACGTCAAAGTTAAAGAATTGAGAAGTTGCCGAACTCGTGCAGACCACCCGCTCGACACATCCACAACACAAATACAGTCATGGAATATCACCAACCATGGTTATGAGGGGTCACGATCTACAAGCTAAGAAAACGAGTTCATTGATAAGTTTCCACTCAAGAAGCCCCCGCCCTTTGCAGTGGTAAGTAAGAGCTCGGAAACAATTTTATTTGTTGTAATTATGAAATGTTTAAATTTATTATGTGAGAAAGATATCGATGTGATGACATTCTCCAGAATCTAATGGCGTATCAAATCTGATATAAAAACTTCATTAAACAATAATTTTCTGACGAAAAAATTCTTAGACGGCCATTTTCTTTTAAACACTGGTGACACAGAAATTAAGCTATTTTTCGATTTGTTTTTGATCTAAGACTGTGATTACTACCACATTGTATTGCATGTTTATGTCTTTATTTTTTAGCTTTTTAATACCAAAATTTTAATGAAATAAAATGTGAGATGTCACCTTGCAAACTCGCGGTCATCAACATTGTTTAAAATGAATATCTATGTTGTACAATTTCAAATCACCTACTAATGTTGCATAACAACGAAAAATGTCCTTCTTTTTTAGGAGACACATTTGTATAAATCCTTGGCTTCAGTAACCTGCTTGATGACTGGCGTTAATTGTCGTGGTTGTACCTTTTCCTTATGAGTTGTTATAAGAATAATAAAAAAATGTTATGCATGCAGCCTTAATATGCTTTTGCAAAGATCCCGCTAGGTAATAGTGCTCTAAGAACGCGCAGTGTGAATAAATAATTTGTATTCCTTAAGTTTGGTGGTTTTATTGAAAAAGGTTCCAAATCCACTTCTGAGACAAGTACTTTTCTTGAGTCAGTAACATATTTTTTTAAAACAAAATGTTAAATGGAATAAATTATTAAAATTTGTTTAAAAAATTGTGTTACTGTCACAAGAAATGTGATTGCCTAAAAATTAAATATTTTGTAATAAAAAACAAGGTAAATCTATTTAAATGCTGAAGTTTGCAGCACTGCAGGATAGAAAATTACATTTTAAAGGGAGACTTTAGATCTATGGGCAAAAGGGAAGTGATGCATATAAGTTTTAGAACGATTTTCTTTGACTTTGGAAAGGCATGAAAACTATTGTAATATTTACAGATATCAGCGAGAAAGGGATGTTTCTCAACCAATTTTTCTAAATATTTACCTATAAAGTTACAGGGATGTTCTGAGCATGAATAACAAGGACATTAAATATGTTAAAAATAAGGTAAATATTCTTTCTTTATGAGACATTTTTGAAAAACGGAAAATTAATTTGATTAATACAACATAAGAATCAAAGGGCGTCAATTTTAATTTTAAGTTTATGTGAAAGAATCTGTGAATGTTTTACAAACATAGACGTTGCATATCAATGAAAAACCTTTGCTCTTAATGATTTACGGGCCTTCTTTAAAATATTTTATGTCGTGTTCGACACCTGTTTACAAATTTATTTTAATTGAGTTTACTCTTACTGCCTTTATAACACTATTTACGATATATTTACTGCTTCTCTGCGAAATAAAGTACGTTTTTGTCTTGAACCCCGTAATAGTTAAAACCACAAAGAAATACGTTCATAATGTAATATGCTCGATGATAAGAGAAAGTGTCTACGTTTGATGGCTGTATTTTTCTGAACATTTTAGCCTTGAAAATTAAAACTTCCGCAAAAATTGCTTCAGCATTTCGCTTCCTTATGTAACGTACTCGTATAATGTAAACATTTAAATAAAACGACCTTCCCAACATCTTCTCGAAGGCCCCTTTTTTTATCAAGAAGCTTTTCAGGATATCACGATTTTCCCCTCGCGAGCATAACGTATTTACCTGTACGTCTCGGTAATCTCTTTTCTCATCCTATCCTAGACAGACAGAGTGCACTAAAATGCATACTATCTTCACTAATTTTGCTACTATCTTCAGCCCTTGCAACGTGTTTTCACCCTCAAGAAGAAAGGTCATATACACTGTTGTGTAATGTTTGAAAATTTATAGGTTTAATGAACTTGTTTCACGGAATATGATTCAATGTATTGTTTTCTATTCGTAAAAACAGGTTTAGAAAACTGGCATGATTTGTATTGACATGGAATATTCTATAATCAAAATGACGTAGAGCGTATTATTATTATTATTATTATTATTATTATTATTATTATTATTATTATTATTATTATTATTGGAGATTTCCAAATTCTGGAATGCTCTCCTGAAAAGTCTCGTCAAATCTCCCTTGTTCGGAGATAGCTAATTGCCTATTCAGTAATAAGAGATCAGTGCTCAGCTGAGATAGCTCAGTGGCAACTTCCGTTGCCGGAGAAGTGTCGTTGACTGGGAGGACCGAGCGTACGGGTCCCGAAAGAGGCCGATTTTCGACACTAGCTGTGTCTTTAGCTAGACCGAATTCAGTCATTGTCTGAAGAATTCAAGTGGCGGCTGTTCAGACCCCTTGTTTCCGCCCTTGGTATCGCCCATCAGCACCAAGTGAATGGTGGACCAATACTCTAACAAACGGACCTTGTATCGCGCGCAATCCTTCCTTTATCGTCCCTGCTCCCTCCATTCCTCTTACACACATACACACACATTTACAAGCTCTACACTACCATGTATATGGAGAGAACAAACGGAGGTTTGGAGCTTGTTCTGTCCGGCGCTGTGCCCAGTCCGGGGAGATACGTTGAGAATCCAACCCCTACAAGACCTGTTTAGGCCGGCCTTGGGCTTCACATTTCAGCGGAGAGGAACACCACAATCACTCGACTATAACAAGCACTACACACGCGGGAAAATGTCCAACGGAGATGACAAACACTTAATATTCACTCACGCAGTCTGCGACCGCTTGAACGTCTACCCTGCGGGTCTGTTCACTAATTAAAGCAGGATTTTTGACACTTATTGAAAACAAACAAAACTTGGAGGGGGCGTGGTTGGCGAGTAACATGAAAAATGATTAGAATCCATTTAAAAAACTTTGGATAACTTATGCTTGAGCCGTTTTGCTTATTATTTTCTCATTCCTCCAACTGAAGAATGTTCGCATCATGGCAATATATTTATGTCGTTAGCTTGCAATTAACGTACAATTTTATACCTCCTCAAGAAATATTATTTACATAGCCACTTATGAAATTACAATTTAGTTTATTGTGAGAAAATTTAAAATCGTGATGAAAACACACAATGCGAGATCTTTAGCATTCGGCATTTCAGGCCCGTCCGTTTACATCACTTCGATGAGTTAGTTCACACGCATACATATCATTTACTTTGCGATGCAAATATGTATCAATTTTTACAATATTATTTTACTGAAAACATTGGCACACTCAGAAAATTAGAGCTTTCAGAACTACCGATCTCTCGTGAAAACCCGCAAAAACACGCACTGAGGCATTAACAGCTAGCGATCCAGCACACATGGCTGCCGGTAGAAAGAATAAATTTCGTAGAGCAATGTGGCTTCGGCGATGCTCAACTGTTTTAGAACATGTCAAAAGATCTGATTGCGTAGGCTTCCGCGGACGGCGTTTGAGTGGTCTATGCTGTTCGGGTCCAGCCGCGTCTTTGTACTGCAGTACAACTCTGTGAAAGTCCATGTTATGTTAGCCGAAACATCAGTCACACCAACACAGATGCCTTAGATCGTCCTGGACAGCCTAGATAATACTGTCAATGGGGCTGTCTACAAACTTCGTTACGCAAATTTAGAAAATTTTGAATACCCCATCTCCCCATGTAACAACAATAACATGCGCTTGAACCCATCTAAGAAATTACGTAACGCTTGCTACAAGACAACCCTCCATTTACAAGAAGTAAAAATAAAATAACAAAGCAGTAGCAATAAGCTTTAATTTTATTTATGTTAAGTATTAAAATTTATGATAATTAAAGTCAATTAGTTGGCGCTGCAGACTGCACTTAACTATAAAACGAAGACAATGTTTCAAGGAAGGAATGACACGTAGGCGGGAAAGTTTCTGACAAACTATGAACAGGCCGCCATGGATGACGCATGGGTCTAAAGTCTACTTCTCCAATAAATTCGTTTCTAGAATATTCTATAGATTAGTTCTCAATATGTTCTTCGTAATCTATTTCAATCAATATACTACTGATGAAAAAATATTTCCAATTATTGTAACAATTTATAGATCATAATTTTTTACTTATTTACATTTTTTAATTCAATTTGTTAATATTATAATGTTCTAGTATAAGACTGATTAAAAGTTTTTATTTAAGCGTATATTGTACAATTAAAAAATATGATCATTATATAACACTCAATTATGACACCCTACCCCTATGTAACGCAGCGTAACGGTACCTCAACCCCCTCCCCTCTTCAGCGTTGCGTAATTTTTGAACGACCCCAAGAGACCATTTGCTGACCCGCGGGGCGAGCGTGTGCGGGCGCACTCACCGGTCATGAAGTTGTAGTGTAAGACTGAATACAAGGAATTGAATCTTGCAACAATAAAAAAATCAGCATTACGTAGCACTGAATCATGACCCTCTACCCCTATGTAAAGCAACGTAACGGTGCCTTGCTCCCTCTTGAGCGTGACGTAATTTTTCGAACGCCCCAAAGAGACCGTCCGCCGGCCGGCGCACTCACCGGCGAGGAGAAGATGTCGTCGACGCGCTGGCGCGGGTCGCGGCCCTTCTTGGTGCGGATGAGCAAGTAGATGGTGTCGACGCGGTCGCACAGCCGCAGCAGCTTCTCCACGAGCGTCTTGCCCAGGAAGCCCGAACCGCCGGTCACCAGCACGCAGCGCCCGTTGAAGGCGTCCGGCACGCGGTTGGGCAGCTTCGCCATCTCTTCGGGCGGCAGGCGCCACTCCTCCGTCGCCACCGTGGGCAGCCTGCGGACAAACACGGTACGCGTAATTTTTTTGAACGACCCCAAAAGACCGTCTGTTGGCCTGCGGAAGGCGTCGCACTCACCGGCGAGGGGAATATGTCGATAAGCTAACGTCAGCAAGTTTTTTATTTTTTTAATTGTTGAGTCAACTTTGACTCCACGCTTCTCCAAGCCCCTTGGGGAACATTGAGCGTCTTCCATTAACTATTCCGCGGGAGTAATCCTCCGTTAATTAATATAGTCCGTCACGTCTCGTCTCAGTCAGTTGTCAAGAGGACCGCCAGATAGCATCTCCGCATTTGCGCCTTTCTCTTAATTGCTCCCGCGTCACTATCCAGCGGCCAGAATTGGGAAGGAATAAGGGTAGAGGTAGGGTTCAGGGGTTCACTTGGGCTGGCCCCTGTGAAGCATGCAAACTCGTTTTGTCGTAACATATTTTACTCGTGAGGTTCCACGGGGATTGTACGGGAAATGAACGCGAAACCTCAGTGGTGAAATTCAAGCGAGTTCGCCACTGAGCCACGAGAGCATTCAATCTTTCATTGGGGGCAGTGGAAATGATTTATCCATTGATTATTTAGCGTTCCCGGGCGCTTTAGCTGCTATGGTCATTAGTCCCGTAAGAGTAGTGTGTGTTTTATCACGGCAGGTGGTGATCTTGACTCGCTGAATGGCGTGATCCGACACCAACTTGCACGTCAAATAGCGCGTTTGTCCCCTACCGGATATCTCTCCCCAGCGTGGCACCCCGTCAGCCGGGACAAGCTCTAGTTCATGTCTGCTCTCCCGACAAGTAAGGTAGTGTATGTAAGTGTTAGTGTGTGCACGTAAGGGGTGAAGAGAAGACAACAAACAGCAAGGAATGATCAAGCGTGGTCCGTGGTTTGTTTGTTATGACTGCTTTAGCATTCACCTGGTCTTTATTAAAAAAAAGAAAAAAAACACAGGAAACTACCGATCAGAACAGCCGACAGCTAGATTTCTTCTGTGGACAGCTGTTAAATGACTTAACAATCTACCTAGAATAATACACTTTTTTGCGTTATGTTAAAATTTAGTAAACACTTCAGTGGTTTAGTTCGATTTTTCTTCTGGAAAACTCTTTCATTACAGGCTGAAGAATATTACTTCTTTTTTATGAGGAAGATAGAAAAATGCGATATTGGAAGAGAAGCATTCCTTTTTGAATGGAATTAATGCCTTATTAATGCTTTCCTTTAAAAAACAAAATCAGATGATGATTCAAATCACACACAAAAACGAGAGTAGAAAGTAAGATACGCTGACACAAAAAATCATTCTTATTCATTACGAAATGTCGCAATTGATTAAAGATAATCTTAAATGTCTTGGATCGATAACCTTTCAGAGAAAGGTAGCTATGAACAGGGGTATCATGCAGAGAATTTCAATGCCTTATGGCTTGTATTATGAAATGCTTTTGCAGAAGGAGTTTAAACGTTGTGTCACAACGAATGCTCAATCATTCGGTCCCCTGTAAGAAATTTCATTGCTTTTACGGCGATGTCGCACTCTCACACATTCAAAGACATGTTGCACTAGCTGCCTCGGCAATGGTAGTGAATTTGTTAGCATTCTTAGAAACATTTTTATCGCAGATTTATTTGAGAACTTAGTAATATTTCCTTAACAAAACTGACATTTAATATATCCCAGAGAGATACTTTGCATTTTAGTCAATTTGTATTTTCAATGAAAATAAATGAATATGTCAGAAAAGTAGGAGTTAATGTCGGAAATGTTAATACATAATGAAGCAACGAAGTTCACTCTCGCTAACAATTGATTATCAAAGAAAATAGAATGAGGCTGAAAAAATTGTTTTAAAGAAAGATTAATGGCAGAGAATGATACATAGGAACAAAATTGAACAGTAGATCAATTACCTTTGGGAAAAAATGAAATTGTTGTGCACATTTGTACTTCGGTATTAAAGACGAACAATTACTGGCCGTACGCTTTCTGTAATCATGCAACCCGGGTAAGAAGGCTTGGTATCTTACAATCTAAGTGGGATTCTATCTCCTACAATATTTGTTTTTGACAATCGAGAATGATTCTGATAAGCGGCATGTACTTGAATAAAAAGAAAAAAATGGAAAACAACAAAAATATGTACTACAGGACTTAAATATGTTGAAATACTGTTATCGGAGATATACAATAACTCCCATTTTACTTTCCTAAGGTTTCCACAAGTAAAACAATTCAATGGCGCATTTCATAGAATCATAACAATGAAAAGCGGATAGGAATTAATTCAAGAGTTCATAATCAAAGCGGCAGTGCTGCAAGTCTAAGATTCTTTGGTGTTGGTCTTTTCGTTGACATTTGCTCTAGGAGATGGAATTATGGGATTAGAGTTGAGAAATGGGCTAAGAGAATGCGCAAAATAAAATTAATTATAACTGGCAGAAAATTTATTTATTTTAATCTGTGACAAATTATTGTCATGTTAAACATCGAAAGTTAAGGGGCAATAAACAAGCAGCTGTAATAATTGTCATTTTATTCAGTGATTTATTTTTATTGAAGGTTTTATCTAAGAATTTAAGAAATTTCCATAACTTCGCCGATTCTAGATATCAGAATTTCCTTAGAGCTACGAACCCTAGATCTAAGACAATTATTCATAAAATTAGGATGAGAAGATGGATTTTTCCAATCCATCAGTGTTGATGGATTTTCAAAACGTACAAAGTCCACTACGTGAATAACTGTGATTATACGGCATGTAAAAATGATAAATAACATCATCTGGACATATACGGCCTAAGTAATTACTTTTTAATACACCGAACTAATGAGGATTGCAATTTTGCTATCATGATGACAGTAGATACAAAACCAAAGTCTGAAACACCGACCTATGACTGACAATAAAACCATCCAAACCTTAAACATGAATGCAAGACCCGGAGAAGGCTCAACAATGTTACTGTTTATACATATGTTCGATGAAGGCTGAAACATATTTTGAACATAACTATAAGTGACATAATAAGATAAATAACAAAAGGTGCTTCAACAGCACATAGTTTCTCGCATGATTGAAAATATTTAAGTAATATTAAAAAAAATATTTCTGCCGTACTAAAACTCAGTTATTTCAGAAATGAAACGAACGTGAATACATTTAAATCTCTTAAAAGTATTTACAAAACAATATAGAAAAGTAAGAATAATTTCACACAGGCCAACTTTGATTATATTTGAATTGAGTCTTCAATGTTTTCATAACTCAATCAGCGATTAAAATACTTAAAATATAGAAGGGGGTTTGGTACTTCTAAGTTAAACTGCATTATCTTCCTTCAATCTCTTTCCTTCAATAAAAATAGTATCTACATCGTACGATCATCATGCCGACACCAATGGGATGAATTTGAAGAAATTTGAAATCTCTGTGTTGCTATTTTCGAGCTGACAGCGCTTGAAACGAATTCGCGAAATTCCAATTTACATTTCCCAACTTTTTGCAATTTTTTAAAATGCAGAGTGCGCCGAAAATAGGACCATTACCCCTATATTTACAGTTCTTTGCAACATAGGAGGATAAAAATTAAAGACCAGTTTGAATCAGCTTCTCAGAAAATTGTTTAAAATTGTTTTAAAAATGTCTAAGTTCCATAAAAAATTACGCAAAAAATACTCGTATTTTTGAAATATTGAATATGACTTCTTTTGAGGCACTCTTATCGATGAAGACATTTTATTAAGAAAATCTTCAAAATTAAATTCTAGGAAGACGCCGAAAAAAATTTGATTTTGCAATTTTCAATAAAAAAAACGAAACGTTTTTCGTTTTCAACGAAAATAAGATCTATACCGTTCTTTCAAACGTCCTGCACACTATCTAACAACAAAATTTAATCAAAAACGATGGAGCCATTGGCTTGAAAATTTTGCAAATGTCCCAGGAGCTGCATGTAAAGTACCCCAAAAAATAAAATATCAGTTTTAACATCAGCCAGATCAATCGGGAAATAACAATTTTGGAGAAAATCAGCTTAACGGTTTAACCGCCAGCGTTGTTCAAAGACGGAGAGAGAGACTTTTCCATCATTCGAATTTTCAATACACGGACCCACAAAACACGGATTCTACCTACACTAAGTGTTAGAGGATTCTCCCGCAGAAATTTAGCAACTGTATTTATCCACTTTTTTTTTATTAGGGCCCGGCAATAAGAGTTTTTCTGCCGAAAATTCGCCGTTTTCCCCGCATATTTGCATAACTTTCTCTTCTTAAGAGCTACCTTCAAAGGGTGAGAAAGAAAAAATGTACATGGTAAAATGTAGAATGTTTCCTAATGGCTCGTGCTTGAAATGTCAATTCCTACATAGAAACCTCTGGAAAGTGCTAAAACTTAATTGTTTCCAACCTTTCAAGGGAAAGAAAAATGATAGTATTGGAAATTAAGAGAATTATTGAACTATTAAATCGAGTTATCAGTTGTTTGAATTTCATAACGTTTCCTTTTTCTTTTTACAATACATTTCAATCGTCCTTTTGAAATATTTTGTGGCGTTGCACAATGCAAACGAGTAATTAACACTGAACTGAGATGGAGGTGTCAAGATTAAACTTCAATCTTCGCCATCCACCCCTCTACATTCGATACGCTAAGAAAATACGATGTTTTTTTACAATTAATGAGATGTATTCGTCATAGAACTCGGTAAGTGTTCTACAGATAGATAAGGAATTACCTTCAAGCATACATAATGCAGATTTAAGCCGGAACATTAAAACGCAGATGGGGAAAATAAGTCAAATGCAACCCGCAATACATGTTACTATCGTGCATAACTCGGAAACTATGCTCTTTAAAGCCTTAAGAACTGGCCTTTAAACCCAAAAGGGAACACGAGTTATATTTATTGAGTCATAACATAAGGCAATTTGGGAGTTCAATTACTCTTTCAAATCTTTTTTTTTCCACTTCTACTAGCACAGGTTGTCAGAAACGTTCGATATTAGGTTTTAATGTGTAGTGTCAGTTCTAGTATTGAACTCATTTTTTCTAGCGGTTTTCCGCTAATTTTCCTCCTGGTACGCCCTCTGCGGTGATCATCGGTTAATGTAGTGCATGTTCATTTACAGGGGGGGTGGGTGTGTTCTTTCCCCGCTAGAACGTGAAATCTGGCGCCTACTTGCACATGTACTCATGGGGTTTCCAATCTGCCTGTATATCAGACATCGAGGCACCGCTCCAGTCAGGACAAACACTGAGCTCCCGATCGGTCTCCCAACTTATCTGGTAGTGTAAAGAATGTGAGTGTATGTGTGTGTGTGTGTGTGTGTGTGTGTGTGTGTAGGGGAAATGAGGAATCAAGGATGACCAAGAAAAGATAGCATGTGGCTCATTTGTCAGGGTCAGCGCACTTGTCTGGTATTTGCGGGAAACCACAAAATTCTACTGGTAAATATCAGCTGGCCTCTGTAATTCTTCTCCAGGTCTCCAAACTGAATTCGTTCTCTCTGTATCCACCTACTGTCCGTATGCCTCTGTATCCACCTACTGTCAAAAACCCGACACCGTCGAACGTTCCGGCTAGACATTGATTGCCCCGCCAACAGTCGTCGTCCTGAGGCATCTCGGCCGATGCGTTATACAGAGAGGCTTGGTCACACAGCACCACGAACGGCGGCCGTCCCCTGCGCCTGAACCGACGCCGATCGGCCGAGGAGAAAGCGAGTGAGGCAACGGCGGCGGCGGCGGCGGCGGAGGCGAAGGCGGAAGAGTGTCCGTGGGAGAGGGGGAGGTGGGAGGGAGAGGGGGTGGCGGTG